ACCTAGACACAGGAGAACTATTGTCGTGAAAGTGTTGTACAGTCGATTACGAATTTAGATTGCAGAGAGTTTGTTCTGAGCGCTAAAGGCACTCACGATAGAGCACATTTTGCTTTATTCTAACATTTTGCGGCGGTGGCATTTGTAGCCATTGTTGGGTCGTTATTGGCGGTCTTGGTGGTCATGATGTTGCGTGACAAGATTTTTTATAGAGTTTGGATCTGGAAAAGTACAGTACTGTATCTTTTGGCAAAAGTAGTCGTTGGTCCGCCGGCTCGAATTTCCACAACGCTTTTGGAAAAGGGGGAAGCTCGGCTTGGTGAGTAAAAACTCACACGTTTGAGTTATAACTCAAGGATTCCTTCGCAATGAGTTATAACTTCCAACTTCAGGATTCCGTCTATTGATATGATTTGGAATTCGAAGTTTCTTAATGACTCTGCAACCATCAAATGACCCGTTGTTATTTACAGAATTAGCATCAGAAAATATCGAAAATAAGTTGTTCTGGGAAAATGATATTGTTTAAAAACTGAAATATATTTAAGGCACGGATCGCCCATTGAAAGACATCAGAATTCCCACAGTCGATCCCGGGTGTTCCAGCGATCGTCAACTGATGAATGATCGCCAGTGTGAAACCTTTGTTGCCATATTAGCTCCTGGTGGAGAAATAAAATTATTTTTTCTCCATGGTGGAGAAATAGATTATTTTTTTCTCCACGGTGGAGAAACGACACCCCTAAGTCTTCCCTAAACGTAATCTACCTCTTGTTCTTCAACAATCATAATGAGAATTGACGTTTTGGAAAAAGTCTTCTTCCACCTTGGGCTCGCACACTGCCTTCATACTCCATCACGAATCAGTAGTGTTAGAATTAAGCAAAATGTGCTCTATCGTGAGTGCCTTTAGCGCTCAGAACAAACTCTCTGCAATCTAAATTTGTAATCGACTGTACAACACTTTCATGACAATAGTTCTCCTGTGTCTAGGTATACTTTGAGTGAAATTGTTCCTATTTGATTAATGTTTGGCTTGAATTGATGATTCAATCACAAACGTGAGTTCAACGATTTTCCCTTGGAAAATCCCTTGTTTACAGAACTTGATTCGACTTCTACGAGAATTCTGTGTTGAATGCAGTACTTTGGGACATCTTGCATTATTCCCTACTGCATCGTACACAACATCAATATTCCACTTGTATAGGCTCACCATCACTTACTTTTGCAGACATTTCGCACTTTACCTTGGATGAGAAACTACAATTATTTCCAGCCGAGTCCCGAACTTTGCTCCGTCCTGCGCTCCTGTCTATTCTCCAATCCAAAGCAGGCACCACCGACGATCCCCGCAAATCTGGGACACTTCGTTCTCGCGGACTCCATTTCCTCAAGTTTTGCTATGCTATGAACCTGCGCGAGGACTATTTAATGCATGGCCCCGACTTCCCTCATGAACGCCGCGTCGCAACCTTTGCACTCTACACAGTGGCACTCACTACCGGTCGCACCATTAAAGGACAATACATCAAGTCTGCCACAATCAAGCAGTACCTCCATGCAGCCGCGTCTTTTATCTGCCTTTTTACCGGTCGTGATCCCCGATACAACAACCCGAGCGACACCAAAATGTCACCCGATATTCATGCCACCATTGCTGAAGTGGAGCGCCATGAAAAAGTTCCCAATAAACTTGAGCCCTACACCCTCGACATGCAACAACACCTCGAGCACCACAATATCGACACCAAAGCCCACCGAGACGGTCTCTGGAAAACATGTGAAGACTGGAACAGTATCGGCCTCCTCGATGGCCACCGCCTGTCCGAGTATGCCCAAACTTCCGCCAACAAAAATATTGGCGACCAAGCAACCTTTGACGGCATTTCCATTGCATTTTGTGTCAAAGATGTTACCTGTTTCGACAAGTTCAAACGCAAAGTATCCATTTCCGCCTTCCTTCAGAATCCAGAGGACCTTGTTTGGCGCATCAAAACGCGTTTCTCTCATCAGAAGAATGGTAACCATGGGGAAGAAAAACTTTTTATTCGCAGTGAAAAGTCCCCACTCCGTTGCTACATCCGTCGGATGCATTCCATCCTTTCCCGGTTTGACCGATTGATTGGCATCACCACAACCAATGTTCCCCTTGCGGTATACCAAGATGGCGCCCGCGTCCTCTTCCTTCATGACGCAGAAATCACCCGTGTCATGCGCCATGTTGCTTGTTCGCTCTACAACCTAGACCCCAAACAAGACAAGATCCAGTATTCTTCCCACTCTATCCGAGTTGGCGCCTGTGTCCTCCTCCACACCTCCGGAGCATCCACTGACCAGATCAAGTTCCTCCTCCGATGGAAATCCGATGCCTTTATGGCATACCTGCGCAACGTCGCCCATCTGTGCATGCAACAAAATGATGCCATCACAATGATCGATGCAACTACATTTCTTATATAACTACCTTGCTACCTCACGCAACTTTTCCACTCCCTTTTATATGATGCCCCAGCCATCCACAATTTTCTTTCTTTTCTTTTTCTTTTTCCCACTCCATGCACTCGCTAGTGTATTGGCCCTTTCTTCCGTTTCCTCCGGAAGCGATCGCATACCATTCCTTGGCCTGATTTATCTCTTCTGCACCAAATGCTCGGTACCATCCAGGTCCCAAATTTGTGTCACGTTTGAGTCCATTGAGTCGAATATCCGATTCCCGTTTCCAAATCCGGTCCTAATTCTAGTTACCAAGCTTACGATGCCAAACCTACATCTCTTACTTACGTATGGAGGACTGGCATAATCTCGTTTGGTACAAATTCGTAGTATGCAATCATCCTAGGCCAATCACGCTAGACATCGAGTCAAGTGGAGGCGGCGCCTGTAATCCGTAGGATTATGACTTTCAACTTGTGCGTGAGACTCCTTGCGCAATAAGCCGTCTGTCTGCTGGCCCACGATCAAAATTTTTTTGATGGGAACACCGTACCGGTACGAACCTTTCCCACCAACCAGAAATTGCGACGATCACCATCAAATTTCAGTGTTTCACAAAAACCGAAGAAAAAGGAACCATGTCGACTGCAAATGGATATGTTTCGAATGGAGAAAAGAGGCTCAAACTCACAGATGTCGATGAAGAGACTCTGAACTCAGGTGCTGAAGGGTAAGGCGCTTTTTGGCTTGCACAAACGACTTTCAGTCTCCAATATTGAATTCGACTCACCACCTTTCCGTCGAAAATTTCCAAAGGTACACTGCAACACAAGTGTTCGTGAAGAACCCGGCTTGTGTCGCTTATACATACGATGATACTATTGTGATGCCCGGACACATCTCTTTCTCACTTGGTGATGTTGACATCTCAACTAAGCTCACTCGTAACATTGAACTTCAAGTCCCATTTGTTTCTTCGCCTATGGACACTGTCACTGAGCACAAGATGGCGATTACGATGGCGCTGCAAGGAGGAATTGGAATCATCCACTCGAACATGAAAGCCGAAGACCAGGCTACTGAAGTAAGGCGAGTAAAGAAGTTCAAGAATGGATTCATTCTTGACCCTGTTTGTTTGAGCCCTGAGAGCACTCTGGAAGAGGTTTATCGAACAAAGCAATCACTAGGATTTTCGTCTTTTCCAGTGACTGATAATGGAAAGATGGGGGGAAGATTGGTTGGAATCATCTCCAACCGAGACACGTCTTTCATTGAAGACCCTTCCGTTAAGGTAAAGGAATTCATGACCTCACGTGATCGATTGGCATGTGCAAAAGATGGTGTAAGCCTTGAAGAGGCGAACAAAATGCTAAAAGAAAGCAAGAAAGGAAAACTTCCCGTGGTGAACGAAAAAGATGAACTTGTTGCACTCATTGCAAGGACAGATTTGCAAAAAAATCGAGACAACCCACGTGCATCTAAAGATTCTGTGAACAAACAGCTCCTTTGCGGTGCATCGATTGGCACACGTCCAGATGATAAAATACGGGCCAAGCTTCTGGTCGACGCTGGTGTAGATGTCATTGTTGTCGATTCGTCACAAGGAGACTCAACTTACCAAATCGAGATGGTTCAACATCTCAAGTCAACACACCCGGAAGTTGACGTGATTGGGGGAAACGTTGTCACACCCTCACAAGCTCACCATCTTATTGAAGCTGGTGTCGACGGACTTCGGGTTGGAATGGGAATTGGATCCATCTGTACTACACAAGAGGTTTGTGCTGTTGGACGAGCACAAGCGAGTGCGGTATATCACGTTTCCAAGTATGCCAGAAAGTTTGGTATCCCAATCGTAGCAGACGGTGGGATCAAATCAACTGGTCATATCACGAAGGCGCTTTGCCTTGGTGCTGGGTGCGTCATGATGGGTAGCATGCTTGCAGGTACGGATGAAGCACCTGGAGAGTATTTCTACCAAGACGGTGTACGCTTGAAACGTTACAGAGGTATGGGAAGTATCGAAGCCATGAATCAAGGAGGCGAGAAGCGCTATGTTTGGGACACAGCCAAAACAGCTGTGAAGGTGGCGCAAGGTGTTAGTGGCGCAGTCACGGACAAAGGAACCTTACAGCGTTACATTCCGTACCTCATGCAAGGTGTTCGTCACGGTTTGCAAGATGCAGGGGTGAAGAGTTTAGATGATGCTAGGGAAAAGCTCTACAGCAACAGACTGCGCTTCGAGATTCGATCTCCAGCTGCGCAAAAGGAAGGCGGTGTGCACGGTTTGCACAGTTACCAGAAGCGTCTGTACTAGGATACACACATCTACTTTGCGTGTTGTATAATGTATGTGAAGCTTCATTATAACTAGAGAAGCTCGTAACCAACCCAGCCGTCCACCAGGAAATCTAGAATCGTCTAATCAATTAAGATGGGTTAAATATGTTCACCGACAAGCTGTCTACCTTTTTGTACAATCGTCCACCAGCCGCCCGTCTTGTCATACCCAGGAAAGTAAAATCATTGGGGCTACGAATTTGTAACACACGCCCGTTTTTCGGAAAAATGCCACGATTAGAAAAAATAAATAAAACTGCAAATGATCATGGCGCCACTTCCGGCATAATTCGTGCGGCTCATGCAAGATGGGGATCAACGGTCAAAATAGCGTCCTTTGGAAGTCTTCCAATGTCAACTTTCATATTATCATCTTCGTATTGGAGCAGCTGCATAGGCTCCGTCGAGAAAACAACCTCACCTCCAGGATCCAACCAAGAATCTCAATTGATGTATCTCTGCTCGCACATCTCTTTTTGAGCAAGGACCCAGCTAGAGCAGTCTTGTCAATTGCGTAGTGCTTTGCAGATAAAGGAATAGATGTGATCCTAGATGTTGATGGTCCAAATCGGCATGATTCGAAAAGGGCCCATCAGGACCGTGTCACACAAAAGGATCGCCTCCGAATTCAACTGATGGAACTCCGCTCTTCTCTGGCTAAATTAATCAACCATGCTAATCCAACCAAAGAAATTCTTGCCCCAAAGAAGGCATTGATGAGAACAATGAATTCGAAGGAAAGGAAGCAGCAGCGGCAGAACGGGCTTCCTCCGGATTTCACTGAAAATATGAAGAGTTCTGCTGCTTCTTACAAAAACACGACCCATGGAACAAGCATACCGGTGGAAGAGACATCAACCAGCGTTTGGTAGAAGCTGCTGGCCTAGATGTACACTGTGGAGCAGCAATGGACTTTCTGGCACCAGAAAAACAGCAGCAAGAGGACCAAGTTCCAAGCAGAAACAGGGAAAAGGCCAGGCGCCTGTCTATCAAACCAAACGATCTAACTTCCATGGAAGTAAAGTGCCGTACCGGATTCCGAGATTTTCCAAGCCTCCTCTCCTACGCGATTGTTGTGTGCGGTGGTGATTTGGATCGTCTATTCAAAACATGTTCCAAACTCACTTGGCTTGAAGAGTGGTTGTTTTACTTTGAGTTCAAGTACAGTTTCACAACTGGTGGTAGGTGGCAAGACTATGAGAAGATGTACAAGACCTCACAGAAGCCCCTTGGAAAGATCCTGTTGAAAAAGTTGTCGCTTGAGCTTGGCACACGAGACCAGTGGCCCATGTATGCTAGCTATGAGGAAGACGCAACCTTTCGTGACAGAAAATGGGATGAGTATTTCAATCCAGCCACTGGAGAGAGAGAGTTGTGATGCATGATGCAACAGGCATTCCTTTACCTTGTCCATCGAAGTCAGAACTCCAACGAGCACTTTTCAGTGACTACTATGGTACAACGTGCGTCAAGGCAGGAGTCAGCAATCAACTTCGCTGGTGGATACGAGGAATGCCTCTAATGACTGGAAGAATCACAGATTCGCAGATGATTAAAGACTCAGAAATACTGGTGGAGCAACGGAAGTTTTCAGAGGCTGATAGTTCTTCGAAGGAACCATTCAACAAGATATTCGATAAAGGATTCCGAAACACGCTTGATGCCAGCATGGAGGGTCAAACATGTACACAACCTACGTACTCCAAAGGGGATACCCAGTCCAGTGGAAAGGCTACTTTATATTTGGCTTGCGTGGCTGTGATACGATCTGGAAATGAGCGTGCTGTTCAACGCTGCAAGATGTCGTGGTTCCTGAAACGTGGCTGTGCCTATCAACTGTTGGACATTGAATTGTTCTGTGGTATTTGGGAGGCTTGAACCTTTCAAGTAAACTTCATGTACAATAAGTATCTCTAGATAGTAGTTATCATGATTTCAATTTATTCCCCCAGTGTTTGATGGTCCAATAGGTTGTACGGGGTACGATAGATATTGAATCTCTACTGCAACACAGGAACGGCCGGGAACGGAGGTCGTAGTGGTCGACCTTTGGTTCTTTGAAAGGCTGAAAAAGGAATCTTAGTCGCGGGATCTTCGATTCTGACCATCTAAAGAATAGTTGGATTCCGTTCTCCATTCTTATCTGCAGTGAAGCGTTCACTCCCTTCGCAAGAGTGAGTGTTGAATTAATGCAAAGCGATTTTTTAAATAACATATATCTGAGAATTCGACAAGAAGGGCGCGTCTCTAATTCTACCTTTTCTGCCATCTCTTAGGTGGAAAAAATGCCTACATCGAAGCTTTTTTCTCTTGTGTGCGTGATCTGATCCCGAAAGAGCCAGCCGAGCCGTGGAAAGATTGTCCACGGAGCCAGCCCAGCCGTGGACAAATTGTCCACGGAGCCAGCCGCGTCGTGGACGAATTGTCCATCCAATCATATTGCCTGAATTGCCAAAATTCACCTCTTTTCATACAGTTAATTCTGATTGGATGGACAATCCGTCCACGGTTCTGCTGACTTGGGTGGACAATTTGTCCATCCAATCAGAATGCTTTACTAAAGCCGGTCCAAGCATGGCGGGATTCCCTACAGGACCGCTGCTTGACCCTCCTTGTATGATAAAAAAGGACATAAAACGGTATTCTTTAGTTTTTAATGGATTGACCATGAAAATCTAGATTGAATGGAGATAATAGTACTTTCGTCAGGGGAGAACTTGTGCCATGGTTAGTATCGTTGAATTGCTTGCGGGGCTTTCCGGAAATCTGATTTCCAACGGTTGAAATCCCCCCGGAAGAGGTGAATGGAATGGGACAATGTGATTGGATGGACAATCGGTCCACGGTGATGGCAGGCTCGTGGACGAATTGTCCACGGAGCCAGCCGAGGCGTGGACAGCTTGTCCATGAGCCAGCCGAGGCTGTTGACAACTTGTCTAAGAGCCAGTCAACCCTTCCGTTGGAAAATTGACCAAGTGTGAATCAAAATGTGCTTTTATCAACTGTTAAGCGTTTACATTAAGAAGTTGGGTGGTAACCACGTGTCGATGGAAGGTTTTATTAAACATTCGGACATACTGTATGTCAGTTTCGGAACCAAAGGACTCCTCCACCCTCCGCACAAACATTTAGAGTCTGTTTATCGACCTTTCGTGCTGATATTCGATTAGGGCAACAAAACAAAAAATTTGCATGATTCCATCAACAAGATTCCCATATCCATTTGCGAGTGCGTGCGCTTTGACTCATCGGACCACAGTTCCCGGCCGTTCCAGGGAGGTCCTGCTGGATATAGTCCTTCCGGCGTCCGTAGCACTAAACCTGTACCCTAGGCATCACGAATTATGACCGTTAAATTACTAACATGCGTGCGCGCCAACTGAAAGCGACGGAATCTGACAAAACGGAATCTAATTATTCAGCAGTACTGCTGAAAAATTCAGCAAATGATTAGGGTAATCCTACGGATTACCAGGCGCCACCTCCACTTCATGACTCGATGTCTAGCGTGATTTGGCCTAGGATGATTGCATACTACGAATTTGTACCAAACAAGATTATGCCAGTCCTCCATACGTAAGTAAGAGATGTAGGTTTGGCATTTTAAGCTTGGTAACTCGAATTAGGACCGGATTTGGAAACGGGAATCGAATATTCGACTCAATGGACTCAAACGTGACACAAATTTGGGACCTGGATGGTACCGAGCATTTGGTGCAGAAGAGATAAATCAGGCCAAGGAATGGTATGCGATCGCTTCCGGAGGAAACGGAAGAAAGGGCCAATACACTAGCGAGTGCATGGAGTGGGAAAAAGAAAAAGAAAAGAAAGAAAATTGTGGATGGCTGGGGCATCATATAAAAGGGAGTGGAAAAGTTGCGTGAGGTAGCAAGGTAGTTATATAAGAAATGTAGTTGCATCGATCATTGTGATGGCATCATTTTGTTGCATGCACAGATGGGCGACGTTGCGCAGGTATGCCATAAAGGCATCGGATTTCCATCGGAGGAGGAACTTGATCTGGTCAGTGGATGCTCCGGAGGTGTGGAGGAGGACACAGGCGCCAACTCGGATAGAGTGGGAAGAATACTGGATCTTGTCTTGTTTGGGGTCTAGGTTGTAGAGCGAACAAGCAACATGGCGCATGACACGGGTGATTTCTGCGTCATGAAGGAAGAGGACGCGGGCGCCATCTTGGTATACCGCAAGGGGAACATTGGTTGTGGTGATGCCAATCAATCGGTCAAACCGGGAAAGGATGGAATGCATCCGACGGATGTAGCAACGGAGTGGGGACTTTTCACTGCGAATAAAAAGTTTTTCTTCCCCATGGTTACCATTCTTCTGATGAGAGAAACGCGTTTTGATGCGCCAAACAAGGTCCTCTGGATTCTGAAGGAAGGCGGAAATGGATACTTTGCGTTTGAACTTGTCGAAACAGGTAACATCTTTGACACAAAATGCAATGGAAATGCCGTCAAAGGTTGCTTGGTCGCCAATATTTTTGTTGGCGGAAGTTTGGGCATACTCGGACAGGCGGTGGCCATCGAGGAGGCCGATACTGTTCCAGTCTTCACATGTTTTCCAGAGACCGTCTCGGTGGGCTTTGGTGTCGATATTGTGGTGCTCGAGGTGTTGTTGCATGTCGAGGGTGTAGGGCTCAAGTTTATTGGGAACTTTTTCATGGCGCTCCACTTCAGCAATGGTGGCATGAATATCGGGTGACATTTTGGTGTCGCTCGGGTTGTTGTATCGGGGATCACGACCGGTAAAAAGGCAGATAAAAGACGCGGCTGCATGGAGGTACTGCTTGATTGTGGCAGACTTGATGTATTGTCCTTTAATGGTGCGACCGGTAGCGAGTGCCACTGTGTAGAGTGCAAAGGTTGCGACGCGGCGTTCATGAGGGAAGTCGGGGCCATGCATTAAATAGTCGTCGCGCAGGTTCATATCATAGCAAAACTTAAGGAAATGGAGTCGGCGGGAACAAAGTGTCCCAGATTTGCGGGGATCGTCGGTGGCGCCTGCTTTGGATTGGAGAATAGACAGGAGCGCAGGAGGGAGCAAAGTTCGGGACTCGGCTGGAAATAATCGTAGTTTCTCATCCAAGGTAAAATGCGAAATGTCTGCGAAAGTAATTGATGGTGAGAGAGTTTCAGGTTTGGGCGGGAAATAAAATCAGCAGCAAAGTTGTCATCACCAGGGATATGATCAGAAAGAGCAGTCAGAGGGGAGCGTTTGAGGAGCTGACCATGCAAGTCGACCAAAAGGCGTGCAAAAGGGCTGTTGGTGCGGGCGTCATTCATTCATTTCTCAGTTGGAGTGTTGTCAGTGCGGTTGAGCAGAACTGGGAATTGGGAAAATCCGTTTGGGAATTTGTGGATGGGCATGGGAAGTTCCTTCAAAGCGGACAACCGTGGCAACTTCCTGGAGAAAGGCTACCAAGAACTCAAGGCTGTTGATGTGGACGTAGTTGGGGTTGCTGGCTTTCAGTTTTATACCAGCAACAATATCTGGGCTCCAAACTGTGCGGAACCAAAATAGAAGTTCGTCGGAATAGGCGCCTCCTCCAAGAAAGCTAGCATCTCCGTACGACATGAAATGGGGGTCTCTAGGGATCATCTGGGGAATGCAAATTTCCCATGTCTCTGTTTCGAGGCTGTGCTTGATGGCTCGGAGTTCGCGGAGCACAGGTTTGTCAAGGCGGAATCGTTTGTTGGCGTTCCATAGGAAAGTAGCTGTTTCCTTTCCAAACAAGATTATGCCAGTCCTCCATACGTAAGTAAGAGATGTATGTCAGATGGACTTGCTCCACAGACCTGAATGGGAGCCTCAACCCCCTGTCTGTTTCAATGAGCAGTCCCTGAGATCGAATCTACGTCGGCTATCATGGTCTGCCTTTGGGCACCAGCAACTCTGGGCCTCAGCCTCTGGAATAAGCAGTAGTCTTATTCAATCAAAGGTCTTACTTTATTATCTCCTGTACTTACTTGGACCTCAACGTCCACAATACTATTCTTGCCAGAACTCAATCGATAGTGAGACTCTCGATTGCAGTTCAAAATCATCTTATAAATTCTCACGATTCTCATTCTTGATCACCTTTCTACGTGATGACGCGTTCTGACATACTGCGTTTCATATTACGCACGATCGACACTCACGTCACTGCCGTGTTGCGTCACATAGACCATTGATCAATAATCAACCAATATGATTGCTCAATATATCAATACGTCCAACAATGTAGGTTTGGCATCGTAAGCTTGGGAACTAGAATTAGGGACCGGATTTGGAAACGGGAATCGAAGATTTGACTCAATGGACTCAGACGTGACACAAATTTGGGACCTGAATGGTACTGAGAATTTGGTGCAGAAGAGATAAATCAGGAACCGGGTGGGATGGTGAAAGAAAAGACATAATCGTTCTGAACTGTTTCAGATGATTGTGGTTCCTTAGCTCTTCATTGTCTCATCTTGCACTTGGCAAAAAGAATGCTTCTGTTCACGCCTTCGTTTGCCATGCCGATCGTCCCCGAATTTTCGTCCAATGAATTACCGTTACTTCGCTTAAGCGACTGACGACATGACTGTTGGCGTGAAGACAGGAGTCTTCTCTTGCCAGTCCGTCTACCGTCTTGCCTGATCAAATTCAGCAGTACTGCTGTATTTTAAAATTCCCTTTGTCATTCCCGCCATCAACACCTCCGACAAGCAACACAACAACCTGCCAGAGCAGCTCATCAACCGACCATGAGGATCCCCTTCTCTGCAGATGAGTTCCTGGAACTAGGAACGGTTCTAGGAAGAAGCTGGAGCAACAAACAAAATCGATAGATTATCCAAGACTAGGTGACAAAGCTTCTTCACGGACGATTTCTATGCCGATGCAAAGACTGTGAAACAGATGTTCAAAGATGTCCAGCAAGAGCCAACGAAGATTATGCTGGGTAACTGCACGATATGACCAGTCATACTCTAGCCAAAGACACGGACGGCGAATGGCATGGGTCACCAGCAGAAGCTTTCCTTAGAGTTGATGTTGAAAATGGCAAGCACAAGGACATGAAGCCCAAAATGCTCCTCCAACAACGCAATGAGTACAAAGCGTTTGACTTGAAAACTTTTCGGGGCCACATCTATCAGGAGACTAGGCGAAACAAGGATTCCGCATATATGTTGGTAAAGAAGGAGAAAAAGGAGAAGAGACTTGCAAAGCAACAAGGAAAGCAATACAAGGATGATGAAAACAACTTTTACGATCCTGTCATTGATTTCGTATCCCTAAAGGACTGGTTTTATGATTGCTAATCTACAATAAAATATTAATAGTAACACTGTAAATCATTTTTTTCTTGAGACGACTATCAGTTTTATTGTTTTGCGTGGTGGAAAATTCAGCAGTTGAGAAGGGAATTCAGCAGTACTGCTGAATAAATAGATTCCGTATTTGCATGCTCGGAAAATGCTACGCTGGCGGAAAAACCGTTATACAAGTTTCATGATTGACTCAGTCGCGGGGGAAACGTACGACATACAGGCGGTGTTCAGTAGGACCTCCCTGTGTTGCTGCAGAAAGTACGTACTTCGTCCGGGTGTGTTACAATGTTTTCACCCTCCGACACAAGAGGAGTTAGTGTTTTTCGCGTTTTTCGCGCGCGTTGAAACTTTGTCAAAACAGACCTGTCGGGATGCTTGCAGGCGCCAACTTTATTCCGAAGAAATACCCGAACACTTCGGAGACGCGAAAAATGATGATTTCATTTCAAGCACGCACATCCGGGTTCAAGCACGCACATCCGGGTTCCAGGACACATTCAAAGACGCATATTCGGGTTCAAGGGCGCCAACATCCCCCTCAGGCGCGTTCTTAAAAAAAAGAGTGCACCACGATGCACCACGATGCACCATGCCAACCCGGACATACGCAAAAATCCGGGTTAGCATGGTGCATCGTGGTGCATTTGAAATGCACCACGATGCACCGCGATGCACCGCGATGCACCACAGCATCATGGACTTGGCACGTGCTCCCAAAAAAATATTTACCAATCAAAATTGTTGGAATCCTGAACTGAGAATGCTTACCTGCCTCCGGTATGTCATCTCTGATGAAAACACAGTTGCTTTACATCA